CACTGCTGGCTCTGTTTTGAGAAGGGTCTGGGGGCCCTGGGAGTACAAAAAGGTAAGGAGTGGTAAAAGGAAAACATAAAAATAATAAAAATCTGGCTTAACATGCAGGTCCAATTTCTTTTTTTCTCTTGGGCAGTCCAATGGGAGAGAACAGCAAATCGTGAGGCTTCCAGTTGGCCGGGGAAGACCCGATGGCGCAGGAACAGCTGCAGGGAAGACACGAGGGTCAGTGGCCCTGGCCGGACATCAGGTCCCCACAGGGCACCAAGACTTGGACAACACTAAACCTCATTAACTCTTAGGATCGCAATAACCGCATTTCCGCGGCTGGCAGCCCCTGTGTGCCCAGTGAGGTGGACGCCACGTTATCAAGAGTCTTACGTCACTCTTAACAGCATTCTGGTCAGTGATAGGAGGCATGGATGGGGCCAAGAGGCTGCACCACTGGGCTGAGGCGGGCAGTGGCCGGATAATCGAGGTTTGTGTTATGACACTCTGACTTTCACACAATGACGAAAAGGCCCAAGGGCACATTTCTCAGATGCACGAGGATGTGGGGCCTGGCCTGAACCTCCAAGTGTGGCAACCTCACCCACACATCTGCTGAGGCCACACAGCCTTCCCGCTCATGCAGACAGCACTGTGCCAGCGCTCCTTCTGCCCACACATCACCTGTAGGTGCTTGGGAACCAGCCATTCCAGGGAGCTTTGCGGGGTTTGAGGCCTTGACCTGAGCCATGAGCCCGTGGACAGGAATCTGGGTTCAGGTACAGATAGGACAGCTGGGTCCCGATGGCCCTAAATAGTCCCCAACTGGTCCAGGCAATTCAGGGAGACCCTCCCAACCCTGAGGATTCCCAGCCCCCTGGGCTACAGGGGCAACTCACATGGGCAGTCATTCCTGCTGGTCCTCATTGCTGGCACTGGGGGTCCGACTCCGCATCTGACTCCGGAGCTGTTCTATCAATTCTGGGTTCTGCTGCTGCATCTGCTGGGCAAACTGCTGGCCCCTACAGGGAGAGCGGAACCCGGACTCAGTGGGGGGCTTCCTCTGGCCCTGCCTCCTAGGTGCTTCTAAGCCCCCAAGCGCACCCCTCAGGGCCATGTGGCCATTCCCTGGGAGACCCGGTGCCTCCATTCCCGTTTTCCCCTGCTGTGGGTGTGTCCCTGCCCGCGGGCCCCACCAAGCAGGCCTACTTACGCCTGGATGAGACTAGCCAGGTCATTCTGCGAGGGGCTGGTACCAGGGGTCCCCAGGGGGTTGTGGCCACCTGAGATCATCCCGGACATGCTGCAATGAGAGAGCGTGACTCAGACCCCACGGTGGCCCTCTGCCAGCAAGCAGCTCTCTGTTGCTGCCAGGCAGCCCCCCTTCTCCTCTCTGTCTGCAGCCCTGTTGATTTCATCAGCTTTCCCAGAGTCATTCTTTTTTGGTTTAAGGACAGTGATTCTCAACTGGGCGGTTGTTCCCCCCAGGGGTATCTTATGACCCGAAAAGTCAGACTGTGACTCCATGGATGTGAAGTGTCCAGAAAGGCACATCCAGAGACGGAGCGGTCATGGTGCCAGGGTCTGGGCGACTGCTAACAGGGACAGGCTTTCCTTCTGGGCTAGAATGTTCTGGAACTAGACAGTGGTGGTTGTACAACTGTGGATATACCTAATGCTACCGACTTGTAAACTCTGAAATGGCTACAATTAAGTTTTATGTATGTTTTTACCACAATTAAAAATTCAAGCACATGACCTAGAGGAGAATGGATTTTCACTTACAGCTGTTGAACTTGAGGATTGTTCATAAGGTTTGATGCCTGAGGAAAGGGAACAGACTGGTCAGAGAAAGGAAGCCTCCAAACATGATCTTTAATGGAAATTATTGTGTTGTGATCACTTGTGCTTCTCCCACCCGAGCCTATGTGTGGCCAGCACTGGCATTTGCTCTTCCTGGCCCTTCCCCTTCCTGGACCTCCCTTTCCATACATACATCTTACCATTTTAATCCTCTTTTGGACTTGTATTTTTAGAAAGATCCCATGGCACCTCATCATCTTTTCCACCAGGTGCTTAGCTCCCGCTACATGGACATGTTTTGGTTCTTTTAGTGAGTAACACGCTGGACACGTCCCCGATTAGGACTCCAGACACAAGTTGCTGGGTGACGGCTGGCCAAAGACAGATGCACCAGGAAGGCCCCAGGAAGCTGCACCGTCTAGGTCTATGTGACCGCCCTGTGATGATACTGCCCAGTGACTCATTTCTAAGATCTTATCCCTGTCGCTAAGGCCCCATGACTATTTCCTTAGGACCTATTTCAAGAGGTGGATGAACAGGAAATGAGTGGAGTTTTCCCAGTCATGGCTGACAAGGATAGGCTGACTCTTTCTGGAAAGGGTCAGAGAGAAAATATTTTGGCCAGTCAGCTTTGCCCCAACTACAGTGAAAGGCGCTCCATGTGGACATGAGCGTGGCCACGTGTCATAAAAACCGCAGCAGCTGTCACCTGTCAACCGAATGTGTGAGGTTGAAAACAGAGGCCATCTCGAGGCTGAGTCCTCCCACCAGGAGCCCTCTGAAGGGCTTGTGCACCTCCCCCCAGGTCCCTTTAGGCGAGAGGTACCTCTGCAGGAGCCCAGGCCCCCCAATTTAGAAGGTGCGATGTCCATAGCACAGAGAACGTTTGTCTGCCTGCTGGTGGGCTCGGGGCCGCCTTCTTTCCTTCTTTTTTTTTTTGATGGGACCCTCGTCGGTGGCCGGGGATCGAAATGGCGCTGCAGAGGCTGCGGGCAGCCTCGCAACCCAGCGCTCAAGCCCTGCACCACCAGGGAAGGCCCCCGCCTTCTTTCCTTCTAATAGCTCAAGCCTCCCTGAGGTGGCACAGCCAAGAGTGGAGATGTCCACACAGAGCACTCAGTGCTCTGTATCATCCTGTCTGAACCCCAGAAAGCAAGCCTGGTGGGGTTACCACTGTTCCCACGCTTCTGGGGGGAACCCAAACATGGGAGTGCTATGTCACTTTCTGGGCGATCCTGCTGCCAGGGGACTCTGGTGATGGCTGGGGAATTGGCAGCTGTCACAGTGGCATGCACCTGGCACAGAACGGAAGAGGCCAGGGACGCCTTTAACACCCCAGTGCCCAGAGTGCCCTGATGCCAGCAGTGTCACAGCTGGGCAGCCCTGGCCTAGAGTAGCAGCAACACAGGAGAGGCAGGTGGGAGGTGTGGGCGCTGCAGGTTGGGGGAATGGAAGGGAACCCTTACCATGCTCATGAACCCTGGGTTGTTCAGCAGGCCGGCGATGTCAAAGCTGCCAACACCTCCTGTCTGTGGGGTGACAAGAGAGTTAGTGACCTCTGGTCAGGGATCTGATGGCTTGGCCCCAGCAAGTGAGAGAACAGCCTTTCTTGGATCCTGTTTCAAATTCTAAGAAGTGATCCCCTCAGAAGTTCCCCCAATGAGAGCAAACAGGCTCAATGGTCAGAGAGCGCCTTGAAAGTGGCCACCCCACAATGTCCATCACTTAGGGAGATGCCATCCACATCTTTAATTTTCTTTCTTTTTTAAAATTATTTATTCTAACAAGAGTCATTTTTTCCGAAAGATTTATTTATTTATTTATACAAGAACCAGGGTACAGGCCAGATTCGCGGGAGGGTGAGAGGATTCACCGGAGACAGAGCGGGGAACAGAACAGGAAGACTGACGAAATACACTGCTAGGGAAGCAGCGGGCGAGACAGGAAAGGTCTGCCGCGCCATGTGGGACCCTCGCTGGCTGGCTGGGATTGAACTGGCGCTGCAGAGGCTGCAGACAGCTTTACAGTGCAGCGCTCAACTGCCTGTGCCACCAGGGGAGGCCCTCACATCTTTCATTTTATGCTGCTTCGACAAGCGGGACTTGCGGACCCTAGAGGGATGGCCTCTCCCGGGGCAGCTAATTCCCACAGTGAATAATTCACAGCAATCATGCCTTGCATATGCAAACCAGCCAATCCAGAGTCCACCCTTCAGCCCTCCTCTATGGGGCCCTTACACCTGGGACACCACCCCATTTCAATCACCCCATAGCAGGTACCAGACAACCTGAGGCAGCCCCTATACCTCAGAGCCCTGGAATCATTCGACTAGCCAATCCTAAGCTTGCCACAAGAAAGGCTCCGGCCCATGATCCCCTTCCCTGCCTCCTGACTCACCCCTGATTCCCTGAGCAGCCCTGTGGCCTCTGCAGGCATCTGTGAGGACAGGCCTGTTTCTTTCAGAGAGGCACTTTTGCATCACACATCCCACCACACCCAGGTGCAACAAATGCAGGTCCCAACGCACTCTTTAATGCCCTTCTCCTTCAAGCTGTGACAGCTGGTACTGGGCTGGCCTGTGCTCCTGCCAGAAGCAGCCCTCACCCCCAGGGCACTGCTGCCCACTCACTCACTGGACTGGGCGCCTCTCTCAGCTTCAGTTCTGCTATCTTGAGATTGGACTTGTATGTCTCGTTGTCGGGATCCAGCTCCAAAGCCTTCTTGTAGTAGGCCACAGCCTCTGTGTGCTTGTTCAGACTGGAGAGCGCCAATCTGAGGGAGATGGTAGGGCTTGGTGGGTGAAGTGCCAGAACCAGAGAGCTGTCCCCCTTCCCTTGGCCCCTTCACCCCGACTGCTCTGGACGTCCTCATTCCATGTCGGGCAAATGGGCCCAGGAGACTGCATGAAGAGGGCCGGGGGGCCGTGTCGGGAGGGAGACATATGGAAGGAACTCAAGGACACAGGAACTGGTACCCTGGGGGCTGACAGGAAGGACTCTGAAGGCTGAGAGGGGACAGAGGCAGCAGAGGGCAGGTCTGATGAGACACACTGGTCCTTGTCCCTTTTCCCAGCACGGAGCTCCTAAACCCATGTTGTTTCCTGAGTCACAGGCATAGCTTTTAGCTCACACCAGAGTTTATGCCAATGAGGTGACTGAGGGAGGCCTTGGGGGGACCTCAGACAACCAGAATACAGGGTGGTCACCAGGAAGACCAAACTACTAGAGGGTGGGAACTCTGCGCACTCCCAGCCAGGGGCAACATCGCATCCACATGCCCGGAGGGCAGCACACCCTGAACTTCACAGAGACAGAGGCCACTGCCCTCTGGACTGTTTGGGGCCTTGCCCTGTGCCCTATTCATCTGGCCATTCATCTGGTTCCTTTATAATTAACCCGCGGATGTAAATGAAGTGCTTTCCAGAGTTCGGTGAGCCGTTCTTGTGAAGTATCAACCCTGAGGAGGGGTCATGGGAACCCGCACATTACAGTCGTGGATCAGAAGCATCCTCCTCTTGTGACCTGTGTCTAAACTGGGGCAGCCCTATAGGGTTGAGTCTTGAACCTGTGGGGTCTGCACTCACTCCTGGCGATGGTGTCAGAATTGCACCCCGATGATGCTGGAGTTGGTTATTGGTGGGAAGAAAACTCCGCCTGGCAGGAAATGGAGGGGATGCGTCCTCTGACACTCACCCCATCCTGCCGTAAGCCTTGCTGTAGGTCGGGTCTATGCAGATGGCTCGTTCACAGTCCTGCACAGCCCCGGCGTAGTTCCCCAGCTTGCTGTAGGCAGCAGCTCTGGGGAAAAAGCAGGGGGTCAGGGGGTGGTGACTCACTAGCTACAGAGGGGCAGCCACTGAGGAGAGTTTCCCCATGTGTACTGTGAGGCAGAAATGGGGTCGCCAAGGGGTGTGAGACACAGGTGAATGCGGTCTCAGCCACGGGCTTCCATCTGCTGAGCACCTAGGCCAGGGTGCCAACCCTGTTTACCACAGGAAACTGAGGTCAGAGGAAGGTCCAGCACCCCACAGCAGATGGGACCTGAACGAAGCTCCCATCTTGGGGTGAAGCCTCTGCCATCCAGGATCTTCCGCCTGGGGTGCTCGTGCCCATTTGTAGTGCCAAATGTCTTAAGTGTTATTAGAAAACAGGCCCGGTCCCGCAGAGGCCGCTGGCAGTCTATACTGCGTCACCGCCTGTTTCACTGATTTAGATTTTAGGGTTTCCACTTTGCTGCTTCTAGTTTGCACAGCACAGGAAGGTGTTAAGTAGAGAACACTGTACTTGGCGAAGAGCAGATGGGAAATATCTGTACTACCTGTGCAACTTACCTGTAAATCTTCCATTCTACAAGGAAAGATACACAATAAAGGTGAAAAAGCAAGTCTACCCTGGAGGTGACATGTCTGGAGTCCTCCCCCGGTGAGCACAGGACCCTGCACCACTCCCCACTCAGCTCCTCCTCTCAGAGCTCCCCGGAAGCAGCGCCATCCTCCCGCGAGGCCACACGAAACTATTAGCTTTTCCTCTAAACGCAGCCACGTAACAAGGTTGCAGCCAACGAGGGCTGCACAGCCAACAGGGCCCCGGCGCGCTCTAGCTTGGTGGCCATCTGCTCTCGGTGTCTGCACAAAGACAAGATCACCCAACTTTACATTCTGGGAACGTGCCCATGCGGTGACGCGGGACTACAGGCAGACACGGCTCCTCACCACCGTGACAACGTTGCGTGAGCACACGCAGGACGCGTTACCCAGATGTAGCAGCTTTCTCGCCATGCCGATCTGGATGTGCCCAAAGCCACGTGCTGTGACACCGTGCAGGCAGCGGAACCCCTGCTGGGGAGCAGCTGCAGACCTACAGCACGGAGGCCCCCACCCTGCGGGGCGTGTGCCGCCAGCCCAGCCTGCTGCCCAGCGCCCACCTGGTACCTGTTGCAGAAGTAGACGGCGTTGGCTGGGTTCAGCTCAATGGCTTTCCCGTAGAAGTGGACGGCGGCTTCAAAGTTCTCTACTTTCATCTGCTCGTTTCCTGCAGAGAAAGGAAAAGGAGTTCATGGCTCTTCACAGGGGACCCGAGGGCCTGAGACGTCACGCTCAGCTCTCCGGGGCTTCTCGGAAGGGAAAGCAGCTTCCAGGGGTCACGACAGGCAGCTGCAGGGGGGACAGGAGTGTGAGCAGGGGGTAGTCTGTGTGCAGTGCCTCTCAGGCCCAGCCTGAGCCAGCACCTGGGGGGCAGCCACTGCTGCTCTGGCTGTGCTGCATGGGGACAGAAGTCTCAAATGCTGTCACTTGTGCCTCCTCACAAGAGTCTAAGAACACTTGTGACATATCTTCTAATTTTGTAGGCAATGTGGTTTTTCTCCAAGGCAAGGGCTCACAACTGACAGGAGGGTGCGGACTGGCTACAGTCTCAGGATCGAATAAGGGTTTTGAGATCAAGACCTGGGGCTTACCACCTCCACCCAAGATTTATTCAGTGGGTGGTGGTGGTGGTGGTGGTGGTGGTTAGGTACCTGTGTGTGTGTTTCAAATAATATGAAAGAATTATAATTCACATACTATTAAAATGCACCCTTTCAAAGTGTACATAAATCAGTGGTTTTTAGTGTATTCAAAGTTGATTCACCACAACCTAATTCCAGAACATCCCCTATGTGCCCAAAAGAAGTCCCATTTCCATTACTGCCACCAGGGTACCCCAGCCCCTGGTACCACGAACCCACTTTCTTTCTGAGAATTGCCTATCCAGGTATGTCACATCAGTGCTTACTGGACTTCATGTGTTCAAGATCTACCAACATGGTAAAGCATGTCAGAATTTCCCTCCGTCTCATGGCCCCCGTTCTGTGCACGGGGGGACAAGATGTGCGTGTATCGGTCCACCCACTGACAGACACTTGGGTTGTATCCACTGTGGCGTGTGGGCTGGGCACCATGAGCATGTACAGACGAGGATCTGAGGGCGTGGACCTTTAGTTCTTGGCACTCACAGTGTGTGGTTACTCTGCATTTAGCCATCTAGGAAGACTCACACACGGCGGCTGCACCCTTAACATTCCCACCCGCTCGAGCAAGGGTACAAATTCTCCACGACCCTACACCTGGGGTCTTAAAAGCCCCCAGTCCCATCTCCAAAGCACATCTGCTGTCTGCTACTCAGGGGTACCCTTTCCCTGGGCCCCAGAACCCACGCTCCCTGAAGCCACCAGGGGCCAGGGGGCCACGGGCCCAGCGGTGACCACGAAAGTCTTCTCCTACCTTCGGTCTTGAGGCGTTCTGCCTCGGCGGAGTCCTCCTCTGAAGGTGGGGTTTGCTCGGGGCTCCTCAGGTCCTGCGGCATCTCCTGACCCCAAAGCAGACATGAGCACTTCAAGGAGCAGCCCCGCCGTCCCCCTCTTCCAATCCTGTCACCTTTAGCCTCCCTCTCCCTCGGGGACGGCTAAGCGAGGGCAGTTAAGCTCTGAGGGAAGGTGACATGGCCTGGAGATGAGACCAGAGTCTGGTGAGCCCCGCACCTAGGAGTGGAAGAGGCGCGTATAAGGGCTCTGGAGTGCCGGCTGTCCCGCTGCTCCTGTTATACCAACTGGTGGCTGGGGGAAATCCAGAGGCTCACCTTGCCCGTGGCGGCTGCTTCAAATATTTCTGGAAGAGTCTGGGGAAGCGCAAGGTCACGGTCTTCCACTGTCACCCCAAAAGCAGTCTCCAGGCACTGGATGGCAACTGCAAAGCAGAACAAAGGGTGTTTCCTTCTGAACACAACCCCAAGTTCACAGTTTGGGGATCCGGGGGCAGAGTTTAGGTTTATTTCTCTTTGGGTGTGGCGGCAAAGACTCTAGAAAGCATGACATGCCTCTTATGCGCCACAGACCCCTGCCTTTGAGGCCTCCTGTCCTGTCAGCTAAGTCTCAGAAAGCTCAGGATGCCCACATGGACAATGCTCCCCAAACCCCAGGAGCAGGGATGGAAGAATGAGCACCCTATGACCGCCCCCCGGCCCACTGGTGGGGTTGAGATGTAAAGTCAGGGCTCTCTGCCAGGGCTGGGGCCCCTGGCTGAGTTTAGTCTGGTCTGGAGTTGTGTAGGGGGGCAGTGCTAGGGGTTAGGTACCCAGCGCTATTCTGTCAGGCCACTGTGAGAAGACAGCCAGAGCCTGGAGCCTGGGGTCAGACTCTGCCCTAAGTTTATATGAATGGGTTCATTTCAGGGGTGCAGAAACAGTCCAGAGCTTTGAGGCCACCTGACTGGATTACCAGCTGACTCTGTAGCCCACAGACACCATGGGGGGGCTCCCTGTGCAGAGGCTGCCCTGCCAGGGCATAGTGCCTGCCTCCGACGTGGTTTCTGACCCCAAGGTCAGAAACAATTGCTACCCAACTTTAAGCCAAGCCCCAACCTGTATCTGCGTTCTTGTCCACAGATTGTCCATGCCGAGGACATGTAGGTGAGCAGGGCAGGAGCCTCCCCTCTGGCAGGGACAGCTTATAGAGTCCCAGGATGAGGGCGTGGAGGACCTGGGCTCCCAGGGCCTTCCTGTTCCTCCCTAGATAAACCCAAGTCCAGCTCTGATGCATGGTAAGTGCTGAATCTCGACCTTCCGCTGCGGAGCTGTGGACCATGAGCTGGGAGCAGGGTCTAGTGGGGTGGCTACCAATCAAGTGCTGGGTCTGCCCCTGGTTCACAATCCCCGGCCTCGGAAGGCTGCTGGGCGCACAGCCACCCCCTCCTCACTGATGAGAGCCTTTCCATCCATCTCCATTGGCATGGAGCATAGACCAGCACAAGACCCTGGTCCTGATCCTTGTCTGACAGGTAAGGAAGTGGAGCTCCATGCAGGTGCAGGCTCCAAGCTCCCACCTCCTAGCACTAAGCAGCCCCCAACCACAGGGCTGCCCCTTGGAAAGGCATGACCAGCTGCCTTGAGCCGGGGACTTGTGCTACTGGGAGAGTCCACGGGTACCTTCCAGACTCTCCTGGGCGTCGGAGGAGAGCCCCCCATGCCGCAGCTGGTCGTGCAGGAAGCGGATAATGGCATACGCCAGGCGTTTTTTATTATCCATGTTGAGAAGGGAAGACACCTCGCCCCGGGGGTTTTCCAGATCTGGAAAGCAGAGTCACAGTGTGAGCAAGACAGGCACCTTCCCTGCACATGCCCCAGCCCCAAGCCAGTCCTGCATGCCAGACCCAGGCCCTGCCGCCAGCGCTGGTGAAGTCGCCTTAAGCTGTCAATTGTCTGCAGTGAGGCAGAAATGCTAATCACCCCCACTTCACAAATAAGACATGGGGCTATTGGTCCAGAAGCCCTGCTTGCCAGCAAGCAGAGACCCATGGGGGCTGGAGCTCATCAAGGCAAGAGCAGGGCTGGCACCAGGGACCTCTGAGGACTTGGAGAGCTGCCCTGCATGGCTGGGGCCCTGCCTTTCTAGGGATCCTGCTTTTAGCAAAGCGTGAGGCCAATCACAGCCTGCCCGCTGCTTTTTTGCTCAGGATGAGGAAATGATCCAGTAGCTCCATGGCTCCGAGTCTGAGCAACACAGGGGATCAGGTGAGTGACACTGAGCAGCTGAGTTGTCTGGAAGCCCGAGGGCACCAATTCCTACAGGATGGCCAGGGTCTTCCCTGGTTACTCTACAGTGAGCTGAACTCCTAAGGCAGGGGTTATCCTGCCCCCAGGGGACACTACACAATGTTAAGGGACATCTATGGTTATCACGATTGGGGTGAGGTGAGGGATGCTGTCCAGGACCCCCTTCCCGACCCCAAGATCCAGCCTTGAACTCAGCGGAACTGAGGGGGCAGAGCCCTGGAGTAAAGTAACCAGTGCGCCAAGGGCCTCTGACACGCTGGGCGCTTCACACAATCCCATTCCCATTCCTTGGTAGGATGTCGTCCCATAGAGAAGGAACAGGTTTGGGATAGGGGCTTGACCAGCTTGCCCAAGGCCTGGCATCTGCCTGTGAAGTGTCTGTGTGCCCATAAAACTCCTCAAGTGGGGTGACCAGCCGGTGTGCTCCACCTTAGCTGAGGGTGTAAAAAATGAATTAACAAAAAACAGAGAATACCTTAAAAGAGATGTCTGCATAGCTGGGCAGGGAGTTAGAGCTCTTTGAGGGTGGTGGAACATGAAGCATTGCTGGACACTTAACATGCAAGTGCCTTTGGCCTGTGCGTCTCCCTGGAATGGGCAGTCTGGGATCAGGACAGGTTGAGGCCGGCAGACAAGCGCCAGAACCAAAGGTCTTTGGGGTGACACAGAAGGGCCCAGGGAGATCAGCTACCATGACCGGTTTATTTTGGGGAAAATGAAACCCCAAAAGGTAAAGCATTCTCCCCAATAAGTGGTTCAGAGAGAAAACCAGTCAGTCTGCTGCTCCAAACCCAAGGAACACAGTGGCCAAAATGTCAAAATGTTTTTGTTTTACAGGTATTTGTTCTGACAGACAGCAGCCAGAAGTGAAAGTAACCCAGGTGTCATCCACGCTCTGGAGGAGTAATCAGCCTTAAAAAGAAGGACGGGGGAGGGGCTCCCTGGTGGCGCAGCGGTTGAGCGCTGGGTTGCGAAGCTGCCCGCGGCCTCTGCGGCGCCGGTTCATCCCCGGCTGCTCCCCGGCCACCGGAGGAGGGTCCCACATGGCGCGCAGACCTCTCCTGCCGCCTGCTGCTCCCCTCAGCAGTGTACTTCGGTCCTTCTGCCTGCTCTGCTCCCCGCTCTGGCTCTGGTGAATTCTCTGGGCCTCCCCGGTGGCGCAGTGGTTGAGCGCTGGGTTGCGAAGCTGCCTGCAGCCTTTGCAGCACCAGATCAATCCCTGGCCACTGGGTGAGGGTCCCACATGGCGCGCAGACCTCTCCTGCTGCCCGCTGCTCCCCTCAGCAGTGTACTTCGGTCCTTCTGCCTGCTCTGCTCCCTGCTCTGGCTCTGGTGGGTTCTCTCGCCCTCCCGCGCTTCTGACTGTACCCAGTGCATGTATAAACAAAACAAATAAATAAATAAATAAAACAATAAAGGCAATCATTCAATCTACATTTAAAAAAAAAAAAAAAAAAAAAAAGAAGGACGGGGGCCTCCCTGGTGGTGCAAGGGGTTAAGTCTCAGCACTAGGAAGCTGTCCACAGCCACTGCAGCATGAGTTTGGTCCCTGGCCAGGGAGCTGACCCACAAGCACAGCAGACCTCTCCTGTCTCGCCCGCTGCCCCACCTCAGCAGTGTATTTCAGTCGATCCGCCTGTTCTGCTCCCCACTCTGTCTCTGGTGAATCCTTTCAAGCCCCCCCGCCCCGCCCACCCCACACCTCTGGCCTGTACCTCAGCTCTTGTATGCATAAATAAATAGATCTTTAAAAAAAAAAAAAAAAGGACATTCCGGCACACCCCACAATGTAGATGGACCTTGAGAATATGGTGCTCAGTGAAATAAGCAAGAGACAGAAAGACACATACTATGTAATTTCACTCATCGGCTCCCTAAAGGAGCCAGATTTAGAGAGAGAAAGCAGAAGGTGGGCGGCACGGAGCTGGGAAGGGGATGGGGAGCTAGTGTTTAATGGGGACAGAGTTCCAGTTTGGGAAGATGAGAAAGTTCTGGAGAGGGAGGGTGAGGACAGCTGCACCATGTGATTTAAAAGGCATAGCCACTGAGCCATGCATTTAAAAAGTGGCTAACATGGCAACATTTATGCATGTCTTACTGTAATTTAAAATTTTTTTTTTTGTTTTTTTGTCTTCAACCTCTACGGTCCTATCATTAGGAAGCGACCTTTGGGAATGCAGGCCTCTTCTGTTCAAATCAGGTCAAGGGGCACATTTGGTCTGCCACCTGTCTCTCTGAGAATGGCTTTTGCCTTCTTAACTAAGTGATTGCATAACACCCCTGATTTGGCCGTGGGCCCCCAGAGCCCACAGCATTGACCACCTAGGCCTTTGCAAGTGCCCCCTTTCCCCGACCTTCTAAATCACTGTGATAGGAACTGGGGCCACAGGGTCAGAGGCAGCAAGGTTACCTGTGAGCACTTGGGACGCCACTTGAGTGTCCGGGCACCATTTCTAGGCCAGAGTCCTTTGTGGGATTCATGGGAGTCAGGTGACATACGTGTGTGTGTGTGTGTGTGTGTGTGTAGGGGGGGGTGGTATATGCTTTCCCTCCCAGGGCACACAGGTCCTGGTAGTGACAGGTGTTTGTCTAGGGGTAAACTGGGCAATCTGACCTTTACTGCTTCCTTCCCTGCTGGGTGACCTGCAGGGCTAGAGAGAATGGCTACCAAAGGGTCACAGAAGGTTTAAGATCAAAAGATGAAGTCACACTCATTTCTGGGCAAGTTTTTCAGTTCTTCCAACATCTCATGCCCTTCAAACCCAAGGTCCTTTGCACATGCTGCTCCAGCTATTGAAATCCCGACTCTCACTGAACTTATTTTGCAGGAATCCCACCTGTCTCTTCTGGCATAAACTCTCACTGCCTGCTTCCTGGGCGTGTCCCGGCTGCCGGATGTCGTCTTCTCCCAATGCGTCACCCCCAGGGGCACAGTGAGCGTAAGAGATGAGGGTCCTTCCTGTCTGGCTAACACCTACACTACCGCCTGGCACATATCACGTCCTCACTGAGAATGGCATCCCGCAATGCAAACAGGACACTCCGTGACAGCAAAAGATTCTGCTCTAGAGTAACAGACCTGAAACCTCAAGTTCCAGAGGAAGAACAAAAGGACTGGGGGACCCCTACCCCCACTCCACCTTTTCCCCTGGCGGAGGGGACAAATTACTCCCTGCAGCCTGGCTTTGCAACCAGTTTTATCGGCACACACACCGCATCTCTGGCTGCTTCCCTGCTGCAAGAGCAGAGGTGAGCTGTGAGGACAGAGACCAAGATTGTTAAGTCTGAGATACACAGTCCTCACTTAATGTCGTGGCTAGGTTCCTGCCTAGGTTCCCGCAACTTTAAGTGGAACATTTAACAAAACCAACCCATCCATAGGTTCATTGATATAAAGAAGAGTTGAGGGGCCTCCCCGGTGGCGCAACGGTTGAGCGCTGGGTTACGAAGCTGCCCGCAGCCTCTGCAGCACCAGTTCGATCCCCGGCTGCTCCCCGGCCACCGGAGGAGGGTCCCACATGGCGCGCAGACCTCTCCTGCCGCCCGCTGCTCCCCTCAGCAGTGTACTTCGGTCCTTCTGCCTGCTCTGCTCCCTGCTCTGGCTCTGGTGAATTCTCTCACCCTCCCACTGCTTCTGACTATACCCAGTGCTTGTATAAATAAATAAATAAATCTTTAAAAAAATAATAATAAAATAAAAAAAAAAAGCCATATGAGAAATAACATGTTTTAAAAAAAATAAATAAATAAAGAAGAGTTGAGTTCCCACTAGAGATTTCTGGTCACAAAAGCATCATCAAAGTTTTAAGTAAAAACCTAAAACACTTCTAATATTCAACAATCATTTGGATCATTCATTCATTCATTTTCCAATTGGCTGGCTCCAGTTCAAAATCAGGGGCTGTGGGAGGTGGAGCCTCTCCCAGCAGCTCAGGGTCAAGGTCCTCACCTGGGACGGAACACTCGTCCACCACAGGGCACAAGCTCCACAACCCCACAATAACTCAAGGGGAAAGTGGACACACACCAGTGAACTTAAAGTGCACATCTTTGGGATTTGCAACCAAACGAGTCCCTGGAGAAGACCCATGTCCTCTGGGGAGACTGTGCAAAAGCCACATAGTTAGGGCCCTGGGCACTCATCAACAACAGAACAAACGTTATCTGACAGTCTGCCATATTTACTACTCGGCCCTTTACAGACAATGTTTGCTGACCCAATTCTAGAAAAATGCTTTCCCAAGTCCAGACGGCCCAGTTGGTACAGCGCTCACTCCCAACATGGTGGCCAGTCACCATGGTTGACTGGAGGACCTTGTGCCCTGGTGCAGTTAGTTCAACAAATGGGCCCATGATCCAAGCAAAGCTATCTGGAGCCTGGCATATGGATGGCAGGCCAGGGAGATCCAACTTCTCTGGGCAGGACTAGTGTCCAGAGGTCTAAAACCTTAGGTCTGGCTGTTCTGCCCAAGGCCAGCTCCATGTTTTCTTCCCAGCCCTGAGCTAGGGAATGTTTTTTTTTTTTTTTTTTTTTAATAGAGGCATGCTTTATTTATTTATTTATTTGTTTGTTTATGCATACACTGGGTACAGTCAGAAGCGCGGGAGGGTGAGAGAATTCACCAGAGCCAGAGCGGGGAGCAGAACAGGCAGAGGACCAAGGTACACTGCTGAGGGGAGCAGCGGGCGGCAGGAGAGGTCTGCACGCCATGTGGGACCCTCCTCCAGTGGCCGGGGAGCAGCCAGGGATCGAACCGGCGCCGCAGAGGCTGCGGGCAGCTTCGCAACCCAGCGCTCAACCGCTGAGCCACTGGGGAGGCCCCAAGCTAGGGAATGTTTTGTGTCATACCTGACAATCCCAGCTGGAGCCCTCTCTTTTCCTTTTCTGTAAACTGGGGTGGCAGGTGCATCCTAGCAGGCTGCAGTCATAATTCGTGACCTATGGAGTGTTTCTCCACCTTGGCACTATGGACATTCAGGGCTGGGTCATTTGTGTGGGGGGCCCTGTCTGGTGCATTGTAGGGTGTTCAGCAGCATTCCTGGTCTCTGTCCAATGTCTCCTGGATTACGGGGTGTTCCAGCATCATCTAACCTCCTGGGATGCACAATTTAAATACATACATTGGGGAGGGGGGAGAAAAGGAGGTGACTCAAAGACATTGCGGGGTTACCCTGGTTTATATTATCTGACCCACTGACATTCTATTTTGCTGTCTAGTGTGAGCAGGGATCAACTCATATTCTTTCTAAATAATTAATCATCCCCCTTGGTCCTGTTGACATTAGGCCAGGTCATTCTCTGTGGGGAGCTGTCCTGGGTACTGCAGGGGATTGAGTTAGTATTCCCCAGCCCCACCCACTGGATACCAGAAGTACCCCATTGTGTGACAGTCAAAATGTCCCTAGATATCACCAAACTACTCCCAGTTGAAAATCACGGATAGACATTGGGGGAGGGAGCGGGGATAAAGTGTTTAGGTACAAGTCTGATTTTTCTGGCTCAATGACCTTGCTGCAAATTTTCTGAAAATCTTCTATTTGCAGACAATTTTGATTTCAGATCTGGGGAAAGAGGATTGTGGGTCTGGGCTGAGGTCCACTTCTAAGTGGAGAACCTGTGCATGATGGGACACAGGTGGTCTGTGAAAACCAGGGCTTTGAGAAGCAGTTTTGTGACTCTCACTTCAACACATAGCTTTTGAGATGAACCAACTTTCTGCTCTCCAGAAAGCTAGGCCCAGTTAACCCGGGGACAGAGCTTCTCCCAGGTCACTGCTAGGCACTGGTGTCTTCAGAACAATCACAACTTGTTGGGCTTTGGCTGCTAGACAAAATTCTCAAAGAAGGCCCACCCTCCCTAAACAGAGAGGGCTTTATGCGCGCGGGGAAGCACCCGAGGCACTGCTCTAACTGCACAGGGTGCAGACATGAGCTACCAAGCGTGCATAAATGGCAGCCCCAAGGGTGGCAGAATCCCCTGCCAGTTCCTCTTTGATGGTCTTCAGAATCGCTTCCAGCTCTGTCACCTTTGCATTTTATCATTAAAAGGAAAAACTATTCCCTTTATTTTCCCACTGAGGATTACTCAAAGGGAAGAAATGGCTAGAATGCGGGACCTGGTCCCCATGTCTCAGGAGAGGTAAGCACCCCATTTTGCCCAGCCCCCCTGGATTGCTCTGCCTGCCTCCCTCCTGAACCCAAAGTCTTCTCTAATACCAGTGTGCCAGCTGGTGCTCTGCCCTGCCTCCCCAAAGCCAGGACAGCTCAGGTACCCAAGAAAGGACTGTCCCCTGAGCTACAAATCATCAAGTTACAGCTGGGTCCCCAGCACATAACCCACACAGCAGCCCTGTTTTCTTCTAAACGTGGTCAGGAGTGTGCCCCAGACCAGACCCAATCACACACAGTGTACACTCCAACCAACTGCCTGCCTCCACCCTGACCCTGTCAGGGGCACTGTTGTTCTCCCTTCAACACCAAGTGGCAAGGTTAATTATTCAGACAGCCGGACACCTTGTGTCCCAACTGAACCTCTGGCCCAGCATTTCCTACAAGGCTTAACAATTTTCAACTTTTTCCTGGCCTGTCTCCCGCACTGGGCTGTGACCTGCAGGATAGATCAGCCACCCTCGGCAGTGCACGCCCAGCAGCACTTGATCTGTACAGACTCAGGAAACCTTACAGCCTTGACAAGTTGAAAGCCATGTGACCACGTCCTGGGGAAGGTGATTTCCAGCCCCTATGATTTCCCCATGACCCGCGGACCATGACACAGGGGACCCATGAGTTGGGTCTTGGCAAATAAAAAATATGTAGGACTGCATCAGACTACAGCACTCAAGGCTCCCCCAATCTGGGGCAGAGCTGAACCTCATATGGAGGCCCTTCCAAGAAGACTGGATGCTTTTGTGGGGGGGGGGGTGTTTCAGACCACAAGTTAAGTGCTATATGTGCAGTGGCTTATTTCAGGGGTTAGCAAATATTTTCTGAAATGGGATAGAATAGGTACCTTCCGCTTTGAGACAATGGGTCTCTGCACAACCACTCAACTGCTGCCGTAGGGCAAAAACAGCCATAGTTATGAGTCTGCGCTCAGGTATAGTAGCAGTGTTCCCACAAAACAAGCTATGGCTCGACTTGGCCCCCCAGTCTCCTAAGACCTTGAGCTGTCTCACCTAATCCCCTTTCAACAGAAGAAAAAACTGAGGTTTAGAAAGAGAGTGGGTCACCAGATTAAGAACAAGCATATCAACCATTCTGAACCAGGCAGCCTGACTCTATAGTCTAAACAATAAAGTACCCTTCTCTCTCCACACAAAACTTCACACATGATTCCTCATGTTCACATACCTCCCCCTGCTGACCTTGTGCAGGTGAAGAATCATTGCTCTATAGTAGGGTTTAAAGCTGTGTGGACATCTAGGGCTGGAAGGCTTTCCGGGAGATGTGGGGGTTTCCTGAAGCCTGTGGGGTGCTAAAGAGCATCCCAGGCCCTGCCCACTTGATACCAGGAGCACTCTCAAGGGAAAGCAAAAACAGAATATTCAAACAGGAAAAAAAAAAAAAAAAAGAGTGAAATGTCCAGCCGAAGGGATACAGAGTGCTTGCATACTTTCTGGCACCTAATAACAAAGCCAGCGATTAGTAAACTTACTTCTTAAGTAAGTTAGTAAGCAGAAGAGCCAGATCCAAGAACGTTCTATGTAAACTGAACTTCACAATGACCTAACAGACAATCACTTCGCCCCTCCTTGTTTTAGAAGAAAAGGATGCTCAGAGAGGAGAAGCGACTTTCCCAAGCTCACACAGGAGAGGTGGTGGCGCTAGTCCGACCCCGAATTTCTCCACCCCCAGCACAACATGCAGAAGACCCCAAGTGAGAAATAAGGATAACGACTGCTCATCTCCGTGAGTAATCACTTTCAGGTGTGGACGTCTGCAGCTTTAATCCACCGAAGGAACCCCTTCCCCCCGAGACAGGGACATAACGATGCCTGTTTTGTAGACGGGGAAACTGAAGGTCCGTGAAGCCAAAGGCCACCGAGGTCACCCAGGTGGACACCGGCGGCGCTGCGCCGGCAGCCCCGAGGACCCGAGCCCCACTAACGGGGTTCTCCGTTAAAGAGACAGTGTTTCGGGGCATCGCGGTCCCCCAACGAGCACTCACTCCACACCGGGCTCTTGAACCTCCCTCTTCCCTTCCGAGGGCCTGCGAATCCGCAGTTCCCCGAGCCTGGGGGCCGGGGAGGCCCGGGGCCCCGGAGGATGTGTCCGACGCCACTTGCCTCAATTTCCCCTCCGCGCCGCCCACTCGCCGGACCCTGCGGGTCGTCGTGACCCCGGCCTGGACCGATTTTCTCTTACGTGCCCGGGAGCCCCGGGAGCTCTGCGCGGGGACTCCCCGCCCGCCCCGCTCAGCGCCAAGCCCACCACTCACCTCTCAGGCGACCGAACCCCGACCCACCGACGGCTGCGCCTGCGCACGGCGGCGCCGCACGGCCCGCCCCCCGGCCGCGGCGCCTGCGCGGAGGGAGCCGGTGCCCGTTTACTTTCCTTCTGCGCAGGCGCATCAATCACCGAGGGGGGCGTAGGGGGAAGTGATGCAATTTAGAGGCCGGGACGACCTGGTCGTTAGGGCAACTGACCTCTGCGACCGAATAGGGGCCGGAAATCAGGACTTACGCGACCTCTAGAGCGGGAATGGAGCGGTGCATCGTGGGACAGTGGAGGACTCCTGCTGATCCGGGCTGCCGGCCACGTGGTTAAGCGGCATTTGGGTCTCTGGCTCCCAGAACGTCCCTGGCGCTCTTGTGACTAGAAGTGATTGTTACCCACGCTCCATTTTTATTCATTTACTCACCCACTAATGCATTCAGCCCACAAGGTGTGAAGGAATATAGGGTTAATTGCTTACAGCAGATACCTAATGTTCTTATAACAACTATTGCAAACCAGCTATAAAGACCAGCAAATTATTCGCTCTCATAATCTTGTTTTGGGGCGCACGGATGATAAACTAGTAAATTAGTACATAAGTTAACAAATTTCATTTAGTGCTATGAAGGAAAGTGGTGTATTGTGATTGGCTAGGTAAAGTGCCTGGACCAGATAGGGAAAGCCCCGCTTTTATCAATGGATTTGGAAGCTGGGAAGAAAGCGCTCCGGGAACAGGTAACACTGAAAACGAAGACTAACGTGACGTTTAAGCTAAGTGTGCTTAAAAGAGGGTCGCGTGATGAGAAGTTCCCTAGGATGACTCAGAACTGATCATCATTTGTGTTAAATTTGTCATGTGTTCTCCCAGGTAAATTTTATCTTATATTTAAACTGCATGCACGCTTAACGCGCTGCATTATTTTAATCTTTTGCAGAAATAAAGAAGGTGGAGGGCCTCCCCAGTGGCGCAGCTGGTTGAGCGCAGCGCTGTGCAGCTGTCCGCAGCCTCTGCAGTGCCTGTTCAATTCCTAGCCGGCCAGGGAGATACCCACACGGTGCGGCAGACCTCTCCTGTCTCTCCCCCCCCCCCCGCTGCTTCCCTCAGCAGTGTATTTCACTCAATCTGCCTGTTCTGTTCCTCGCTCTGTCTTTGGTGAAGCCTCTCACCCTCCTGCGCCTCTGGCCTGTACCCCAGTTCTTGTATAAAAAAAAAATAGGGGCTCCCCTGGTGGCGCAGCTGTTGAGCTCTGGGCTGCATAGCTGCCCGCGGCCTCTGCAGCACCGGTTAGATCCCTGGCTCCTGGCGAGGGTCCCACATGGCGCACAGACCTCTCCTGCCGCCCGCTGCTCCCCTCAGCAGTGTATTTCGTCAGTCTGCCTGTTCTGTTCCCCGCTCTGGCTCTGGTGAATTCTCTCACCCTCCCGCGCTTCTGACTGTACCCAGGGCTTGTATAAATAAATAAATAAATTTTTAAAAAATCTTAAAAAAATAATAAAGAAGACGGAGTCTTTTGCCCGTTCAATTCTAGTAAAATTTTCTGTGTGCCTTAGATGGTTGGAGATGTGAGTGTTTTAACCTACATCATTGGATATAGGTCAGGTAGTGTTCCAAAAACACATTGGTTTAAGTTTGTCACTCATTTACTGAAACTTTTTGGATTACACTTAATTGCTTACTTTTTTTTTTTTTAAGAGGCACGTATTTTTATTTATTTATTTGTTTGTTTGTTTGTTTTGTTTTGTTTATACATGCACTGGGTACAGTCAGAAGGGTGAGAGAATTCACCAGAGCCAGAGCGGGGAGCAGAGCAGGCAGAAGGACCGAAGTACACTGCTGAGGGGAGCAGTGGGTGGCAGGAGAGGTCTGCGCGCCATGCGGGACCCTCCTCCGGTGGCCGGGGAGCAGCCGGGGATCGAACCGGCACCGCAGAGGCCGTGGGGAGCTTCGCAACCCAGCGCTCAACCGCTGCGCCACCGGGGAGGCCCTAATTGCTTACTTTTTTAAAAAAAAAAATGACACTTGGGAATAGTGTATTATTCAACCTTTCATTCATCACATTATAAAAGAGTACCTTTGCAAGCAGTGTTAACCCTCTCAAAAAAAAAAAACGACCTTTTTTTTTTTTCAAAGTGTGTTTAATTGAATTGACTAATAGGATTCAGCTCACTGTGGAGCATCATTAGACGCTGGAAGTTGGGACAGGACATTGGGAATGGGATAATCAACAAAGCGACCACTAACATGAAGCCTTTAAGAAGAAGAAAACTTACAAAACTAGGCAAATACACAATAGGTAGAAAAGAGGCAACTAATATGGGGACCCGAACTCTGGCAGAAAGACTGGAGGTGAGTCGCGAGTGCAGAGGCTCGCGGGCGCCAGCTGTGCGTGTGAGTTTCCATGGAAACATCCCCAAGGCTCCGCCCCCTCTCCCCTGAAAGCCAATGAAGAGCAGGGAGGGTTGCGGCGCGTGCGCAGAGTGCGTGTGCTCGCCGGCCCGCGGCTGGGGGTGTGGGCGGGGCGCGGACGCGCATGCGTTCTGCTCCCCGGCACACGCGCCTCCCAGCATGCTTTATGCGCGCTCGCGGGCGGGTTCCTCAGTCGCTCAAGCCGAGGCCAGTGAGTGGACAGAGCTGCAGCCTGCGGCGAGTCGGGCAGCGCGAAGAGGACCAGGTGGAGAGAGGGCCCGCCAGTGCACCGCGCTCGCCATGAAGCCCCCCGCAGGTACCGGCCGCCCCTGTTGCGGTCGCATTCGCGAACCCGGGCGCCTTTTGCGCCTTCGTGCCTCCCGGGGTCGCCACTTGGGCCTAAGAGTGGACACTCGAGTCCCTGGACCCGGGTTGGGGGCGGGGCTGCTCGGGCGAGCCCGGGACCTGCTCCCTCTGTAGCCGAATGAATGAACCAGCTTTCCCAGCGCTTCACTCATTCAGCAAACTCCAAGTCGCTTCTGCTATAGATGGGTTGGGCCCTAGAGTGGACTTTGGGGGACCCCGAGAGGGCTAGATGAACTTCAAGAGTCGGACACTCGGCAGAGAAGTAACCCAGGGTTTTAAGAGGGGGCGGCATCAGGGCTGATAGTGCCTCTTTGGAAAGGGCTGTCCTGAGGGCTGCTCTGTGGAGCTGGCATTTGCACCAGGATGGAGAGAAGTCACTGTCCTGTCACAACCTGGGAAAGGAGCGTCCCAGGTGGCAGGAGCCGCGCGGCAAGGCAGGGAGACAGGTCCTCTGTAGTAGGTTTGGAGAGTAACAAGTCCTTTTGGCCAGAACACAACTGGGAGTCCCTTGGACTTTTTTTGTTTGTTTGCTTATTTTTAAGGGGAGCCATTATCACCTGTTCACTGTGTTTTAGAAAGTAAAACAGGTGGTTGGGTCCTGGAATTTTTTCTTGCTCTCCCAGCCTCCTCCAGTTCTTTCTTCAGCTCATTGCTGTAATGATAATGATAATTGTGTTAGTTATAATAGGCATAGTTGAGGTGATTTAGGCCTCAGGTAGGAAGGAATGTTGTCTACTTTGTTTGCTGTGGGGTCCTTAGCTCCAGGACTCTCCTGTGGAATCAATAAAGAATTACATAATGAATGTGTCTGCTCAGATCCCCCCCCCACCCCCCGCCCCAATTCCAGCTCAGCAGGAGGTTATTGTGAGAATTCCAGCTCACACTGATTTATCTTTCCTGAGCTTCTGAAGCCCTTCTTTTCCCCAAGGCTTAAATCAGACCCACAGCCCCTTTTTCTAGAGGCCTGAAAACCAAATTCCCTGCAAGTAGATTTTTCCTTTAGTTCAAAGTGAAGTCTTTCTGCTAGAAAATCTGACATCTTACTTAAGAGCCTTTCTTTTCCTCATTCTGTTTCTGTCGGTGGGCCTCAGTGGGGTTCTCATGCTGTGGGACTGTGGGTGATATGGGGGAAGGGACATTTGTGGTTGTCAAGACTGGAAATACTCCTTGGTATCAAGTGGGTGGGGGTCAGGAATGCTGCTCAGCACCCCTCAGTGCCCAGGTTGATTTCCCATGGGGGATGATCTCACCCTCTTGTCCAGTGACATTTGGTCTATATTTGCATTTCACTGAGGGTTGTTTGACTATAGGGTGCTCCCCTTGGCCTCCTTGTATGTTATGTAATATGTAACATTTGTTCTTTATTGTCTTAAAACCGGGATTCATGAGACTTAAAGACTTATAATCATCGAAACCCTATAGTCATCAAAACCTGTAGCCTGTTTTGTGAAACCTGATGAGCAAGGTTTTGATAAGAGGTTGTGGACTGCAAAACCAGTTGTCACTTGAAAACCTCATGTGGTGTTCAGGGTGCCCAGTGTTTAGCTCTCATTCCCTCATTGAATTCTCGGCCAGTGTGTACTCTGCATTCTGTAGTCACCATTTTCCACATGGGAATCCTGAGACTTAGAGCATTAGTCTTGCTGGTGATCCCACAGCCAGCAGCTGCCAGAGATGGGCCTTCAGACGTCCAAGAATCTGACTTCAGCACCTGCATACGCCTTGGGCTGGTGGTTGTGATCACCCTACCTTTGTAAAGTACACATCTGCTTGTCAGGCCTACCTGTCCCCTTTGCAGGCCTCCACTCTGCACTCAGAATTAATCAGTGTGTGCATCAGGGATTGTAAAACTTGACCTTGTTTTTTACATCCCACAAACCACAAGATTTGCTCATGGGGCTGGACAGTGTGTGGCCTGCCAAACTTGCCCTATACAAACAAGTTTGCTGACCCCTGTTCCATATTCAGACTGCTGGGTCTGTGCTGGGGCTATACAGCTTGGTTTTGCTGACTTCTGTGTCCAAACACACCAGCTTTCTTCCAGAAATCTCCCTTCTGGCTCCCCCCACCACGCATCCTTGTCCTTTACACAGCCCTTTCTCAGAGAGCCCTGGGGTAGGGGAGCTGAGGCTCCAGTGCGGTCCCCAGGGCACTTGTCCATCTTGAACAGTGGAAATCATCTGTGTTAGGAACAGAGGCTCTTCCCCGGTGGGTGGGGGGGGGGTCAGGGGGGATGTGAACAAGTAGAAGAGTCTGCTCCAGCAATCACCTGTGCC